GACATAGCAGAAAACAGGTGAGACAAAAATTTAAAAAATGGAACTATATCAAACTAAGAAGCTTCTTCACAGCTGAAGAAATTTTCATCAAAAAAAAAAGACATCCTGGCCCTCCCTGGTGGCGCAGCGTGTTAAAGCACTAAGAAGCTAAAGCCGCTTCCGCATGAGTTCGATTCCCGCCTGCCCCGGAGGTGACCACATGGCAGACCTCTCCTGACCTGCCCGCTGCTCCCCTCAGCAGTGTACTTTGTCGATCTGCCTGTTCTCCCCACTCTGTCTCTGGTGAAGCCTCTCGCCACCCCTAAGCCTCTGGTCTGTACCCCAGTTCTGTATGCACAAATAAATAAATCTTTAAAAAAAAAAAAAAAAGACATCCCTATGAAATAGGAAGAGTGATTTGCAAATTATATATCTATGTGGCAAGGGTATATATATATCCAAAATATACGAAGAACTCATAAAATTCAACAAGCAACCAGACTAAAACATACGCAAGATGAGCTGAATAGATCTTTCTCCAAAGAAGACACAGATAGCCAATAGGAAATTAAGTCAAAACGATGTTGTGACAATAGCTATTATGTGCAAAAAAAAAAAAAAAAGAAAAGAAAAAAACAAGTGTGGAGAAAGAGGAATCATACTGCTGGTGGGGATGAATTGTGGATGCTGAAGAGTCCTCAAAAAGACTAGAAATACCATCTGATCTAACTTTGCCACCTCTGGGTAATTAATCTGAAAAATATGAAGCACTAATTTGAAGATACATGTATATATAGCTCCAACTTCACCGCAGCATTACTGACCCACCGTGGCAGAGCACCCACCGTGGTACTCTCTCTCTGCGCAATGACCAGGCATGACAATCCTCCACGCATTTGCTCTTCAAATGTCACTGTGCACCAGATAGCGCTCTCTGATCTTACCTACCACATAGAACTACCTCCTGGAAAAAGGAAAAGGAAGTCCTCCTTTTTTTACCCTGACCCCCACCAAACAAAATGAGAAGACTTCCGTTAACATACTTACCCTGGAATTGCCAGCGTCCTATTATTACTGGCTTGTTCTAAACTGTCAGGGTTTTATTTTCTCATCATGCCCTTCTATAAGTCCTTTTGGCTGCAAAACCTCCCTCTGCAAAATACCCTTTCAACTTAATTCTGACAGAGAGCAGCAACCTTCCTGGGTGCTCAAACACGATAGAGCCTTGGTTTTTCCCGACTGACTTCTAATGTCCATACCGCAAACAGATCCACAGACAGCCGGACTCTAAAGGGAGCACTCTGTGCCCCCTTGGGATGTGGTTTTGCATGTGCTTATGTGAGTAAACCTTGGCCATATGCCTCTCTCAATAGCTGGAGAAAGCTAGTCAGTCTTTTAGAATATCTCACTCTGCTCTTAAAATTGTCATAATTCTCTAATTAGTAAAGCTTCTGAAGACCCTAACATCCTTTATAGATCCAAGCAAACCTTAGCAATATTAGATAACCATCCAGACAAGAATCCTTCTAAGTATGAGGACAATAGTTGTGGACACTCTGGATTGTGAACAGTCCTGCAGGATTAAATCCTTAGGAAGAGGTGGATTCTTGGTGTAACAAAAGCTAAGAGAGAGCGTGATAAGAATTTAACTAAAATTGTAAGCGAATGCTGCTGCTAACTCCATGAGCAAACTTAGTTGAGCTCAAAATCTATTCCTTAATGACCCTTGATCCCGCAACCCTTGATAACTACAGAGCAGTGCTTGCTTACATCCCAAGGCTGTACCACTGCTTATACATCTAGCTGCAAGTGGTTAAATTTCTCTCAAGTGCAGTTGGAAACTACTAAAACATGTAATTTCACTAAATCACTTAAAAGTGTCTCCTCTACAAATTCACTGAATTTTAAGTTTTTGATATTCTCAGTTCCCATCAGGAACAGAAGCCATTCTTCACTCCTACAAATCCTATTACTAATATCAATTGTATTGTTTACATTGTATTCACAGTCTCATTTGTTTTCATCCATACTGTAATCTCCATGAAAATAATCAGCACCCAACATGTTCCACTTGACACCTAATGTAACTGGTGACCCCAAATTACATCTCTGAGCCTCGCCTTGTTGCTCAATCCTCATGCATATTTTACTCTTTCACATCCCATTTCTGCCTTTCATGAGATACCGCAAGCTGGGGCGTGACTACCTCAGCATGCAAGGGCAAAAGATACCATTTTTTTTTTTTTAAAGCAATGATGTGTTCCATAAAAAACTTTAGACATCAAGGGGGAAAGTGATGCTTACTCTCAAAATGGAGACATTTGACATGAAGTATATTTAAAACATCCCAGGAAGGGTCTCCCTAAGGTAGAGCAGGTTAAAGCAGAGCACTGCAAACTAGCTGCAGTGGCTTCAGTGTGAGTTCCATCCCCAGCCCTGGAGGTGACCCATGTAGCACAGCAGGCCTCTCTGTCTCACCTGCTGCTCCCCTCAGCAGTGTACTTTGTCAGTCTGTGTGTCCTGCTCCCCACTCTGTCTCTGGTGAATCCACTCACCGCCCCTGCCTCTCTGGTCTGCACCCCAGTTCTGTATGCATAAAGAAGTAAAAAAAAAAATCCTCAGGAAACCACTAGCAAAGTGTAACTTACACTTATAATTGCACCTGTCTTCATGTTGAAGGAACTCAGATGGACAGCAAAGCCCCAAACATATTACTGACCACCAACTGTGTTACCTGCAGAGCCACTCAAGTACAGTATTCTTTCAAATATATCTGTCAGCTCCCTTCCTTTCTGCTCCTTTATAACTGACTTATGAGAAGGGGGTTGGGGGCACTCTAAGAGTGTGTTGGTACTGCGTATCCTTAACTGCAGTGCCAAGCACTGAATAGAGCTTCGTGTAACTTTGCAGTTATGCCTTTTTTGGGTGAAAAGGATTATTCTGGGGGCAGGGTGGAGACTGTGCTGGCCCCAGGCACTCACAACTAAACTGCAGTAAAATAAAGCCAAAAAACCCAAGCGAAAACCACACTTAAGCAGAGACACTTTAGAAGCAAAGGTCCAGTGGAAGGACAGAGGCAAAGCTTTATGTGAATTTTGCTGTTATCTTTAACGAGAACCTACAAATCACACAGGGAGGAACGGAAGGCTGTGCAACGCCCCCTACCGCTGTTGAGTTGGGCACATGTCAAAATGGGGGATGCCTGAGACCCAATACTGCTCCTGATAAGGAGTGCAGGGGCACATAGGACAGAGGGTGCACTGTTGAGAGCTGCAAAGGTTGGGGTGCAGAGTGAGGAATTCTGGCTAGAGTGTGGGGCTCTCAATACAGAACAGCTGGAGCCTTAATCCACAGAGAGAAGCAAATCAGAACACCTACAACTCCTTGCAGACAAGGTTGCCTAGGTTGAGATAGCTAAAACACCTGTCCCCACTCCCAAGGGCTCAAGCCATGCTAAAGGAACCCAGACATGCTTTAGAGCTCAAGCACCTGTTAACAACAGGCAAAAACATCCCAGGGTCAAGTTCTGTCCTGGAAGAGAAGAGAGAACAACGCCAGGCCTGTGACTCAGTTCAAACACAAGCCCTGCACAACACCGCATCTTGTGTTCAAATTGTACAGACATCTCAATAAAGAGGATGTCCAGAAGGCCAAAATACAGATGAAAAAATTGTTCACCATTTCCTCTAGTAAGAGGTGCCATTCTCACTTGCATGAGATAGTATCTCATTATGGTTTTAGCCGTGTGAGAATGGACCCTATTAAGACCTCAAATAACAGTGTGGAGAGGGTGCGCAGAAAAAAGAAATCTTACTGAACTGTTGGTGGGAAAATTAAATGGCACAACCATCATGAAGAGCAATCTGGATTTACCTTGAACGCCTAAAAATGTAAATTATCAGATGACCCAGAATACTACTCTCAGGCAGTCATTCAAAGAACATGAAACAGGCCACACAAAGCAATGTTCAGCAGCATATTCACTATTTTAGCTAGGGCATGAAGTAGCCTATTGATGTATGACTGGATCAAGAAGATGTGGTTGATCCACACTAAGGAGTAATACATGGCCACAAAAAAGTAGACTCCATCGAATTTAAAATGTCTGTTGTTCAAGAGAAAAATGTGCAGAGAATGGAAAGACAAATCACAAATTGAAAGAGCGAATTTTCTAAACAACATTAACAAAATGCGTGTTGGTTGTCAAACACTGCTGACGGGATGGAAAAGAATTCCCAGTTAAGAATTTCTTAAAAGTTAAACGGCAAATACTTATATCGGCACTAGATGGATGGCTTCAAAGAGTAAACAACTCAAATGTCAGCAAGCAGATAACGACTGTACAAATTGTGATATGCATGTATACACTATTCAGCAATAAAAACAAATGACTAAGGATACAGGATGGGTTGAAGACCAAATAAAGTACTACACATGAAACTCCAGAAAATGCAGACTAAATCTATGGGGCCAGAACGCAAATCTAAGGCTTCTTGGGGGATGAAAGATCAAAAGTAAATATTGCAAATGGTTTGAGGAAACATTTTCAGGTTGTTTCAGACGACGGTTTCACAAGTATGTACATATAACAAAACTTGAAATAAATAAAACTTCAAATAAATTCACGTGCTTTCTACTGCACGTGAATTGTGCCAAGAACAGGTTTAAAGTAAGTGGTAGTAGAATCTGAACTATTCAACTCCTTGGAGTCGTAAAAAGATTGGGCCAAATTTAAAGGCATCTAAAGACAGAAAGACTGACAAATAATTAGAAAACTCGGCCAAGGCTAGAAAACATGGTTTCTGTCTTCCAGAAATCCAGTCCGTTGATAGCAAGCAAATGTCACCTTTACAACCCAGGCTCTTGGGAACAGAACGTCTTTGGCGAACACGTAGGAATGCACACGGGGCTACCCCACACTTGTGTAGCTCCGCGTACCGATTAAACCAGTCACCCTCGCCCCGGTAGACAAACCCAGCCTTCTCCACGCCGCTCGCCGCAGCGCAGGCCCTCCTTCCCACCTGCATGTTCCTCAGGAGCTGGAAGATCTCCATGGTGCGGTACACGATGTCCTGGACCGTCTCCTGGCCAATGCGGCACAGCGATGCTGTGTTGACCTCCCGGGCGGCCTGCTGAGCCTGGGGCCCGGCGAAAGGCCCGGGCGCCATCCCCGACGCCAACGGAGGGGTGGACATGGTGCCGTCACCGCCGGGCACCCGCAAGGCCTAAATGCCCACTTCAGGGGGGGCCTTGGCGAACCCCGCAGCGGGCCTCAGCGTGGGCACCAGCAAGGAAGCCCAGGGCGGCCCAATTTCAAAACAGCGGCGGCGACTTCCGCCCGCCGTGACGCAACACGTCATCAAACGTCACGGGAACCGCCCACTCGCTGACTCCCTGGGAACCAGTCTAGGCCCCAGGCAGTCAGGATTGACGGACAGACTATCCAGCCAATCATAGGTTACGTTACGGTTAGAGTGGGCGGTGCGAGTGCTGGGAGCAGGTGGGCGTTTCCAGAGCGGGTTTCCCAGTCTGAGCCGGTGTTATTTTAGGTTTGGGATTCCTGCTGAGCGTTTTTCTTATAACAAATTAGTCAGGTTTGTTGTAGTAGTGTGCTTTTACAATTAAGAAGCAGTCTTAGAGGAGTTAATGTACTTGTTTAGTCGCGTACAGCTTGCCACTGGTAACCTGTGAGTCCCAAAATAATTTACTCACCTTTACTCTATCGCCAAGTATAAAATTAACGCCGCCCCAACCCCACACAAACACGCCCCTTTATTATTCTGACAAAGTACTGTCTGATGTTCTCCATAATTTTTGGTGTTTACTTACGGATTTCCCCTCATCCTATACAAAAACTAGGAAGAAAATGTAAAAAACAAACAAACAAAAAAAACCCTTTTATTCACGTACTGTGTTCTCAGCATTTAGCCTTTGGCACATAGAATGTGCTAAATAAGTAAATGTGGAATGATGACTGGAAGGCATTATAAATGTAAACAAACAAACAAAAAAAGGAAACCATTCTCTCACCTACATCTTACTGTCCATTTGCAAAAGGGGAGTTAGTCAATAGTGTGAGAATGAGTGACAGGCACAAAATTATTCTATTTAGAACACTGGAAAGTTACTAAAAATAATATGAACCATTATATCGCTTTTTAAAACAGGAATTAACTACTTACGTTTTAAAACACAAATAACTCCTTAGTGAGTAACTACCATGAACAAATAATGAGCACCGGTGTGCTGAGTCCTAGGCATTAAGACAGCATAGTAAATGGATCCTATAAAAGCCCTGCTCTCATGGAAATAGAACACCAATTTGTGTTGCGGGTCTTGAGGCAAACATTCAAGGCCCTAATATGATCCTAAGGATTTAGGAATCATGTGGGATCTGGCATGAGTGGGAGAGGATGCCGAATATTGGACCCTTCTATGAAGGAAACATGGGACAAGAAAAACCAGTGCCACATCCTGAAGTGAGAGTCCTCCAAATGTTTTCCAGGATCTGAAGTTTTTTTTTTTTTTAAAGATTTATTTCTTTCTGCATTCAGAACTGGGGTACAGGCCAGAGATGCGGAGGGCGAGAGGCTTCACCAGAGACAGAGTGGGGAGCAGAACAGGCAGATC